ACACACTCTATCTTCTGAAGCATCCTGCACTCATTTGCATAAATGACCATCTCCAATAAAAAGAACTGTGATTTTTCAACAAATGCTTTTGCTTTTTTATTTTCCCAATAAACTTGTTTCATAGCACCTTGCATTCACATCTTAACTCAGCACACACTTACTGAAACTAATCAGGCACTATTAGTTTAGTGAACAAGACAGAAGAGATCTCTGCCCTATGATGAGAAAAGGGATTTTCAATTACTACTATGCTATGACGCAAACTAGGAAGGAGTGATAAGGAGCGAAATAGAGAGAGACAGGGAATTTATACAGGTAGATGTGTCCTAGACCTTAAGCCAAAAAACTAGAGTTCCAACCCCATTTTTACAACTTACTAAAATGAATGACTACTTGCTAGTCACTTAACCTAAGCCTCAGTTTTCTCATAAAGAGGGATTAAATAAAGTTGCTGTAAAGATTCGAGAGAAGTGAAAATATCAACCATACCAATGATTAACAGCTCCTGATAAGTAAAAGATCCTGAAAGATGAATGAATAAAAAACTCAGTAAATTAACAAGAACTCAGAAGAACTACCACATGGAGTATCTGAGAAACCTTATAGAATTAAGACACTGAAGGAGAAATATTTTTACAAGCCTAAGAGACAAAGCAAAAAACACCAAGATTCTGCCATCATCACTCTAAAACTAAGTAATAAACACAGGACACACAATCCTATATTTTTTACCTTGTTTCCCTATTTGCTCCAATTTCACTTCCACATGTTTTCCCTACTGGAAAAGAAAAAACAGGCAGTGCAAAAAAGGGCTATTCTAAAATTTTAAGTCTGTGCTCTTTGACTCATTCTCTATCTCAAATACAGTTCATTTTCTTTTCACAGCATCCACTCTCCCCATATTCTTTTCCCATCACACTCACTCTCATCAACTGAATGTAGGCTGTCTGTTATCATCCAAAGTAATATTTTGCAAACATTGTTTTGTGAGTCAATTATAGAGGTGGAAATTTAGTAGGCCAGAATCTTTTTTAAAGGAAAACAGTATAGAAATTAGTGCACTGGGTGTAATGAGGTTATGAATAGCCTAAGAAAGCTTTAACTGAGTAAGTGTGCTTAAAGGGCAAAACATTTCTTTCTATGGCATGTACTAAAAAAAAGGTTGAAAATACAGACAATGCTTCTCCTTTTTTCTTTTCCATTGGAATGGGTCAAATGTCTCTCTGAAAAATCTGATGGAAAGTAAGGTTTCCCTCACCAGAAAACACAAGTTCATGTTCATTCACACTACAGTGCATATGCTGAAGGTCAGGAGGCTCATAGACTCTTCCGTTGCCAGTCCAAGGTCTTCAAGTTAAGAACCCTGAGGGTAAAATTTCAGCTACTACCAGAATTGTTCCCCGAACTATATTTAATATATGCAACTTTATATATATGAAAAACCCATAGACGGCAAGAACCATTTTTTGTAATTTTAAACTCCCAAAAAGGCAAAAATTATCTATGTGTCAGCACCTTTGATAAAGAGCAAGTTCTCAGGATGCTTACACAATTGAAACATATCTTTATTATCTTGCTTCAGAATTACCAGCGTCCCTTTAAAGGTTGAAGAATACAGATTCCGCCTTCTGGTAATTTTTCAGTATTTATCCCTACAATATGCCTGGCACTATGGCCACAAAGGTGAGTTCCTTTATAATGCGACTTTCTTGTCTTACTTTCTGTTCTATCACTCCCTAAAGGGGCAACTGTCAGGTCAAACCCTCAATAAACTATTCCTCAATAAACTATTCCAAGTTCCTCCTTCCTCATTTAAATTCCACCTGACCTTTAGGATTCTGTTCAAAAAAATTTTTATTCAATTTTTTTGGATTAGTCCAGCATATATCGCGTATGCTGAGAATGTTAAGGAGGACTTACAGATACCCATTTACTTCTAGTATTGCATGCAAAATTTTATGCAAAGGTTCGTTTTTTTTTTTCTGGAGAGGCAGTCCATGCTTTCACAAAAGATTTTAAGAGGTTGCAGATGGTCTGATGACTAAAAAAAAGCAAACAATTGCATTTACAGTACACTATTAATTATTTATGGTGTGCTTTGTCTTTTCTACTCCCCAAGGGTAGGAATTACGCGGTTATGTGGCAGACACACAGACAGCAGTAGGTATTCTGGGAATGTTTGCTGCCTGACTTATGTCTCCCTCAAAACTCTTCCTAAAAGACGACGTAAATGCCCCTAAAAAAAAAAAAAAATGATAGTTGTATCTCAAAGATCCACATTTCTTATGGAAATACAATTATCACTCTTAAACCTACCAACTGTACAAATGAAATTTTAAAAACAATCATCGGGCGCGAACTAACCCAACATGGCTCAAAGACCTCCAAGTCGAAGGCCTATTTACAACTTCCAGAGGCACAAAAAACCACCCCTAAAAGCCTGAATTTAAGCGCTCTGCTTTCCCCTTGCAGCTCTTTATTCAAACCACCAGCCACCAAGCTGATGGGCTCAGTGACGGTTCTGAAGTGACCTGACAATCTTTGCAATTCATAAAACGGTGTCTGCGGGAGCTGGCGGCGGGGTGTGCTAACAAAAGAGCTTCTGGAAGCTGAGCCCTGCCTAAAGCAGCGAGCACCCCGGGCCGGCCCCCGCCTCAAAAAGACACGCGTCCCACTGCAGCGGCGGCTCAGGCCCCACTGGAAGAGAAAGTTAAAGGAGGTGCCAGCAGTTCCCGTGTTAGCATGAGAACGAGCAAGAGGCCCGGGGGTGGGGGGCGGGATTCCGGCCTCGGCTCGCGGCCCCTCGCGGCGGGAGCCGGCCTCGCCCGCAGCCCACGGGGCGCCCCAGCCCACGGCCCGGCGGCGGCGCGCGGCTCCCTGGGGCGGGGGAAGCGGCGGCGGAGCCAAGACGGAAGCTTTTCCTGCAGGTGAAAGGTCAGAGGCGCCGCGGGAGGCGCCGCGGGAGAGGCTGCTGCGCGCGCCCCGAGCGCCCCGCGAAGACCCTCGCGCGCCCGGCCGGTCTCCAAACGCCGGGCCCGCGCCCCGACGACGGCCTCGGTCTCTCCGACCCCCCTCGGCGCCCCCCACCCGTTCGGGCAGCCGGTCGTGGCACAGCCCGACGGGCGGGCCCGCCGGGCCGCAGACCGCAAGTTGTGGGGGTGGGTCGAGGGGCGCGCCCGTTGGCCCCCGCGATGAAGGGACACCTCCCACCCCGCCCCCGACGGGCCGCTTTCCTGCCCGCCCGGCGCTGCTTACCGGCGCGTCTCTGCCGCGCAAGGTCCTGCGCCGGGCGGAGACCGGACAGTCCGGTGGCGGCGGCGGCTACTGTGTGGGAGTGGGGGGGCCTGGGAGGAGACAGGCCCCAGAAAACGGAGGGAGGGGGAAGGGTAAAGGAAAGTGGGGGGGAAGGGAGCGCTCCGGGTTTGTGTATTTGGGGGGGGTCAGAGTTCGTGACCCCTCCCTCGGATCCGCGGTGCGTGTTCCCGGCCGCGCCTGCGCAGTAGTGGTGAGGAGCAGCGGCGCGGGCGTGACGTTCCCTCGGTGGAGGGATCCGGGAACTGAGGCGCTGGCAGCAGACTGCCCCCTGTCGGTGTGGAGGAGACGCGCCAGCGGCCCGAGGCCGTGCTTGCAGGAGCCAGGTGCGTTTGTTTAGCATCCTGTTTGCCCAATGCCGTCGTTAGAGGAAGTTTTGGGACAAGAGTTTCAGATTTGAGGGATAATAGGTATTATTTCTGACTTGTGGAAAACTGACTTCGTACAGGCTGTCTTGCCTTATTAAAGGTTTATTAGAGGACAGATGGATAGAGCCCAGTTCTTGTGAGCAAATAGGTATAATGGCTAAATGGAACAAGAATAAAATCACTGTAGAATTTAAGCTTCCCCTGGGCCTCCCCGGTGGCGCAGCGGTTGAGCGCTGGGCTGCGAAGCTGCCCGCAGCCTCTGCAGCGCCTGTTCGATCCCCGGCCGACCCATGGCGCGCAGACTCTGCTGACACCCGCTGCTCCCCTCAGCAGTGTACTTCGGTCCTTCTGCCTGCTCTGCTCCCCACTCTGGCTGTGGTGAATTCTCTCATCCTCATGCGCTTCTGACTGTACCCAGTGCTTGTATAAAAAAATAATTAAATCCTTAAAAAAAAAATTTAAGCAGCCCTAAGGTCGCTTTTTGTCTGTTTTGCTCAGCGGTGTGTTCCCAAACGACATAGGATGCCTGATGGTCAGTAAGGATGTGTAGAGAATTGCGGGAACACATTCCAGCGGTAGCCACCTGTAGTGCAAGGTGTGGCAGTAAGAGCTGCCCTGTGGACATAGTACTGTGTGGTGTGGTTTTCAAGAAGGGCCCTTTAACTTTTTTTAGTATTGATTAGCACCTGAAAATTAGTCACAAATTCAAGCCAGAAATCCAAGTCCGGAAAAACAAATGTGCACCAGGAATGGGACCATCTCTCTGTCCTTTCCGGCTGGATCTAGGCAGCTGGACGCTGAAAAGGGAATGCAGCAGTCCCTAACAAGTAGAAATATGCTTTAGGTTTCATTCTCTAAAATTTGCCCTTTTCCTGTTAGTATTATTTGCTGTGTATTACATGATTTTCAGGTCGTCTCTTTCCTCCCCGTCCCCAAATGGCCCCAGTGGTGAAAGCTAAGAAAGTACACTGTAGGTGCAATGGGAAAAGGCAGTCTAAGACCTTTTCTTTGTTCCTAATCTTAATATACATGTCTACAGTGGTGCTTGTAACCACATTAATTGCTTATGCAATGAATTCATTTAAGTCATGAACAATTCACTTATTAAAACTTGGAAGTAGATGTTATTTTAGGAATATGATTTTGTGCGTGAATAAGCTTTTCCTAATTATGCTTAGGAAACCGTATCAGTGAAGTTCATCCTGAAATGTGAGACTCTAAAGAAAATAATGGCTTAAAAGACATCATCACACCAAAAATGGATATAAGTACATTTATTCTTTATGAATATCATACATATTAACATTATTTACAAAGCTAATATTTTATTTATAAAGGACCTCTATTTCTATATGAACAACAAGATACAAACTAGTATCACTTGAAGTAAGAAGTGCTTCTAGAAATATATTTTAAGTCATTTAAAAAACAGTATTTCAAGATTGGCTTTTTAACATACTATGACCAACTTACATAAAAGAGAAAGTTGCTTCTTTTCATCTATTCCCTCTCATGCCCCCCCAAAGGGACTTTGACACTGAGGCTTTTTGAAAATTTCCTACACCTTTATTAAACAACAACAAAAAATACCCCTACAAGTAGTTATTTCTTTTCTTAGAGGAGTAAGTCACAGGTAAGATTTTCCTTGAGAAACTAACATGAAAAGTGGCACAGGCTCCAGAATGATATTAGAGGCACTTAAAGGGACCAAAAGGAAGAAATTTAATTAATAAAAAAATACTGAGTGTCTACTGCCTGCAAGGCACTCTGCCAGATGCTGAGGGGCAGTCTCACTAGAGTAAGATACAGTTGTTGTTCTCAAGGTTAGAATGTGTTAAGTACATAAGAAAGATTGTTTATGAGCTAAAGGCTCTAGAAATATAGTGGAAGAATAGACTAGATTTAGAGTGGAGGAATAGTGGAGAGGACTGGGATCGACTGTCACAGAGAACTTTCACATACATAGAGTCTGAAAAGAAATATTGGACTGGGATTAGCTGAAGTGCATGATCCCTGAGGAAAAGTGTTCCATGTCAAGCTACTGAGCAAAGAGCAGGGTTGAAACTGGATGAAAGCAGTGCTTTAAAAGAGGACTCTGGCAGGGTTTACAATGAGACCATGCACAGAAGGCATTGGACGAGAGGGAAAGTTATCCCAATCATTGGGGAGAGGTAAGGAGGACTTGAGCCAGGCCTATGTAATAACAGTAGGACAATGAAGATGGAAAGGAAACAGTAACTGCAAGTCGTGTTGCCAGTTAGAGGTAGATTCTGGAGCCCATTATGGTGTTTCTCCATTACTAAAGAAAATAAACAGTTTTGAATGAAAAGAAAGTTAGCTGTGTTTTAGTCACCTAAAGTTTAAAATGCTTAAGCAGGTCTTGTGTAGATATCCAACAGGTAGTTATAACTGTTACCTTGCAGAATGATGAAAAGAATGTCTCTAAGTTATTTATAACAAGGGCCTTTGGGGGACAAGGATATGTCCTCACTTAATTCAACTGAACACATATTGTCTCTTAAAAATAATGTAAATATTTTGTGAGAAACTGCTACTCAGTAAGTGTTTACCATTGTTACAGATTCTTGGAAACTGAGACTATAAGCCAAGTGACCTGTAAGGAAACCAGGTTGTTAGGATTGTTTTTTTTCTTCAAAAGTGATGTTGTTTCAATGTTATTTGAAGATGTGCTGCATTAAGTGTAGTACCTGCCTTCAAGGAGGGGACAGTATAGTAGGAGATATAGGATTTACTGCTGGAAATCCAGGTGACTACAGATGAATACAATGGATTTCATACTTAAACACAGTACAACTGTTGTACTCATCCCCAAGACCTAAAAAAGTACATTTACATCTTAATGAAGTTACTAAATAGCAGGCTTTCCCTATTTCTAGATATATTCTACCATATAAATATAAAACAAAGACTACACTTTAAATTTGTCCTCTTCATTTGGTTGTTTCATTACAGTATTATATTAAACAAGGGTTGCTCTGATAATTTTATTTTTAAAAATGCTCCTGTACTCTCAAAGATGGAAGCTTTTATTTGAAGAAGAGAGAAGTGTTACTAGTAAAGGATAATAGGAGGATGCCATCTAAATCAGGGAACAAAAAGAGGCTGTAGAGAGAGATGTAGGTGACACCAAAGATAACCCTTTTCATTTTCCTTAGACCTTGGTGGATCCTCTACATTTACAGGTGCCACAGATAAAGGAGAAACAGGTTGGAGAACTCACTAAAAATACCAGTCTTTCCAGTTTAACCCGGCCTCTTTTGTTTCGGTTACTTTCATCATTCTTTTTATTAGCTTAGCTTTATAACTGCTCTTCTTGCTCCTTAAAATGAAAAGGATTAGATGGAAGCACATGTATCAGTGAAATAAACATAGTACCCTTGGAATTTAAGTGACATTTATACTTTCTCCTCATTTATAGAATGCACCAAATACTATTTTTTCTTCAAAAAGGTTAGCTTTCAAGATACACACACACACACACACACACACTAAAGAATCTATACAACTACATGGATGTTAGTATAGGTTTCTTGGATGACACTGAATAAGTCAGGTTAAATAAATGACAATTGATCGGCTTTAATAAGTTATGAAGGACAGATAAAGAGGAAAGAGATTATAATACTATTCCACATTTAAAACTTCTTTATGGGGGAGTATAATTGATACCCTCCTCAAACAGCTGTATTTTACATTTTTTGTTAGGGGGAAAAGGATGTCCTAAAGCTAATTCCATACAGGCTTTGTGGACTCCACCCCCACCCCAGGCCAAAGCCAAAGACACTGGGAACTCCAAATCCCATCACCACCAAAGGGAAGGTGGCTGGGACCTGAGGGTGGGGTTAAGCAGCCAGGTTGGTATAAAGCCAGACATGTGGGCTTTGGAGGGGTTCCCCCCATTTTGGCTCTCCGCCAGCTTGCAGCCAGCTCTGAGAGTGTTTTTTGGGTTTCCAGGTCGTCAGATCGGGTAGGACACATTAAAGACTTTATTTCCCTATTTTCTCCCTGAGTTGTACATTTTCCTAATTTCCATTTCCCTTGTAAATAAACCTTTTATTAACCTTTTGTGTGTGCCTGTAGTGGAGTATTAATAAGTCCCTTTTAAGCGTGCAGGTGAGGACCCACAGCCAGGCAACCCGTTCAATATCGGGGCTGCTCTATAACATTTTCAGTAACTTCCACAGGGTCAAGTCAATAGCTAATATGATCATACAGATGTTTTGCATAAAAGAATTACTAGCAGTTTGTGTTTCTTTAAGATTTAAAACTGGTTCTTGATTCAGTCAGCTGTTGGAATATAAATTATCCTGGCTGATATTTTTTAGATTCTGATGTTTAATCCAAATCTTGTGGTTAAGAAGAGCTCAAGAAGAGCGAGGAAGAACTCCAAAAAACTTGTCTTGTGAATAATGCTGGATCCAGTGAAGCAGACTGAAACACTAAAAGGTATAACCTTGGTCTCCAGAAAGGATACAATAAAAAATGTGGGTATTGTAACATGTAAGTTAGAAATTATTTATGCCATCTTAATTAAAATCAGTGAGCAGTAAAGATGTATTAGTTTCTCTACTGTGGCATAAAGACTTCGGAGATAATGTGAGGATTGTGGATGAGAGTGAAACAGGATCTAATAGAAATATATAGTCGAAAAACCTGCAGCAGCCAACTCTAGATTTGGTAGGTACCTGTGCTGAACAAAGCGCATTTAAAAGGCTTTAGAAAGACACTCAGTAATTCTCATGGCAATCACAAGTATCACGCTGAATTAGAAATCTTTTATGTAAAAGGAGAAAGAAAAATTCTCTCCACTACTGATATGTGCTATGAACAACCTTGCCTTTTAAGATACTTTATACTTAGTTTAAGCTCAGTCCATAAATATATATTATGAACATTAGGAATAATGTTAATCATTGTTTTAACTTCATTGTTCTTCTGCTAATCAATAATTTTATATACAAAATAGCTCATGGTAAAATAAATGCACCAAATTTATGAATATAAATCTTTCCTGATGAGATGCACTGACAATTGGCCAAAGAAATAAAGAATTTTTTTAATCAAAACTCTTTAAAAAATTAACACAAAATGGTATTTGAAACCTTTAAGAGAGAGTATATAATTTCAGTTAATAACTGGCTTAGAATTTGTGCTTCTCTGATATGGTAGTTCCAGTTTATTTTTGAAAGCACAATGTTGTAGGAAATGTAACATTCATTTTAGATACAAATACAATATTGACTTGGATTCAGAACTTTTACAATAGCAACAGACATTATGTAATATAATGCTTAGCCATATTTAGCTTTTTAAAAAAGTACATTTATGCTGTGTTGCATTGCTAACAAGAAGACTGAATTTAATGTACAGTCCCTAAAATTGATTATCTATGTTCCTTTGCAAGTGAAAATATCCTCTATCATATTCATAGTTCGTTAAGTAAAAATTCAGATTCTGTCCCTTTGCTGTGATTCCTTGATGATGTCACATTATCCCATGCCAAAGGGTATGTAACAGTAGAAATACTTATATAAGTTCACTGGAATTTCACTCATAGTTACTGAGGTAGAAGTTATGTGTTTTTTTCATTAAAAGATATAAAAATTCAGTTAAGTTTGATTCAAAAACTTAAATTTCTTTCATCATCAGTTGTATAATAAACAATTTCTAAACCAAACACTGCATGGAAATTTGTTCCTTGATGTTATGTGTGTTTTTATTTACAAAACTTACCACTAGTGAGAATGTCACAATATAACACTGTAAAACACATTGAGAAAACAGTGTAGACCTTGTGGCAAACAACTATAGTATAAAGTAATAAGTTTTGTGGACTCTAAAAAAAAGTACTTTAGAATTCAGTGTGAGTCTCAGAAATAATTCTGACCATTAAGTAAACATCAAAATTTTAATAAATAACATACATGAAAAAAATAACATTAAAAAATTACCTTATACTTAACAAAATAATTTCCTATAATTGATGAAGATTTGGGTTGGATATATCTTGGCAGTGTCCATTTTTTAAAGTTTTGTATTGCATTTACTCCATTCTGATGAAATTCCATCCTTCTTTAGAATCACAGAAGAGATGAAACCAATATTGCTACAATATTGTGCCTTCCTGAAACGCTTCTATCCACCTAATGATAAGGGAAATTCATTAGATTTGTAAAATGCAGTCTTCCAATATATATAACAGTGTACCTGTGGATCAAATTAATTTAACACTGTATTTAAGATCTTTTCTATAACAAACTAGAATTCTGAAAATATGGAAAGTATCTTTATTTGGTATTTTGGCCCAAATTTTAGCCTAAAAATTGCATTTCAGTTCTATGAGACATGACGAAGGAGCTATCTCATGCAAAAGCTCTAAGTCCTGATGATACCATTCAATTGTTTTGGAAGTGTCTATGTCTGCAAAGGCCTTTATTTCAACTCCCTTTCTGTTTTTAGGAGCACTAGCTATGCTCCTGCCTCCTTTAACTGTACTAATGAGAGTTTCTTGGGGCAACCATAAGTCTAGATCTATTCCATTATTTTCAATAGAAGGGAATCTAATATATAGTCTATTCCCAGTTGGTCAAAATTTTGCATGCAATATAAAAATGTCTTACAGTTTCATAGAAGTATTTGCAAAATTCTTTTGTTTCAAAATTTATCTAACAATGCACACAGCTACAATTATTCAGGAGACATTCTTGTAGTCTCTTTGTATATCCCTAGTAATGTAATTGCTTTTGAACTTACTATGAATGTTTGAAATCATTCAATTTAATTAGTAAATGCAGCCTATGACAAATTCTGCTCAAACTTGAAGGATATAATTTTTAATTTAAATATTTTAAATGTAAAGGCATACAATTATAGCATAAAAGGCTTTTAAAAGGCCCCAACATTTCCATTAAAATCAATACATCTTAATATTCTATTATATGCAAAAAAGCAACCCATATGATATTAATGACCTCAAAGAGAAATTTATTACTTCTCCTTTGTTATCCTAAAGTACAAGTAAGCTGATTTCATTACCCAAATAAATTCAGTCTTGGAGGGATTTCTACCTTGTCAACAATATCAGCAAAAGATGTATATTCAAAAGCAGTAACTTTATCAACACAATGATAAAATCCAGGTAAAAATTACAAGAAATAATACCTACCAGAAACTGAGGCCAATTATTTTATCTAAGTACTTTTTACAGAAAAAATAGTGACCTTTTTTTCAGTAACATAATTTAAAAATATACCTAAAAGGAATTATGTGGAGGAACAGCTTTACACAGCTGGATAAAACATAAATTGAGTGTGTGGGTGGGTGGGATCTTGTAGACTATTAGTAACATTGTACCTGATTAATACTCAGAAATATGTAATCCTGGTACATTGATTTTGTTTTAAGAAATTGCAAGCCTTCCTTAAAGCATTCTTTTCATTCTGCATGTGTTTTTGAAAACTATTGACAAAATAATGAGGACATCTTAGTGCAAATAAAAGTGTGAGGCCTAAATAAAAATTAAATGAAAGGTGAACTGTTTGTTCAGAAAGGGTCCAGATTTCCAGATTTCTCTGTGTTAAGCAATCTCATGACATCTAAATAAATATTCTTCATGGAATTTTGAAGAGACTGTTTCAGCCTGTTCCATCTACAGTGATAACCATTTCCTTCTACTCAGTCATTCGTAACAGCATGGGAGCTGTTTAATGTGTTTGACCTTTTTCCCAAAGAAGTAAGTTAGCAGGCAGCTGTTTAAACTCCTGCTGTTCCATGGGACAATTGAATCATTGGATTGCCAAAGTCCTGGAATGTTTGAAGGAAAGATTTTTACTCTCACTGAAGCAGAGGTCAAATGCCTCAGCTTCCTTTTCCCTCCCTTTCAGCTGAGCAGCAGTATGCTGCCTCCTCAGAGGTCATGCCTGGACAAAATATTTTGGACAAAACTACCTATGTTCTTTGCTCCTCTGTCACCTAAAAATATTTCATATACTCATGCCTTGTTTTTAAAATACTTCTGAAGAATTTGCATAATGTTAAATCTTTCTAATTTGAATCTCTGATTGAAATTCTGAGTTTCCTCATGCATGAAAATAAGTCATTTTAAAATCAATCATTTAAAGTAACAACTTGACTTCTCATTTGTAAAAGAAAAATAAGTCTAAATTACTTACTTCTGAGCTGAGTGAGCATCATCTGCTTTGAATACATAAAATAACATGCTTTTGTGCAATAACTGAAATACTCTAGACTCTGAATTCGCATCTTTGACTTGAGTGACAGTGAATCCTAATAAAGGTTGACTCTCCAAAGCTGCCACGTCCTAATTTTAAAAGATACAAATGGTGATGCATTTTCTAATTGATGTCAACTTCAGATTTGCAAATTCTTGATCTATATAGTGCTAGTTTTATACACACATACATAAAACAATAACTATTACTTTTTCATTTTTCATTTATTCAACAATATTTACTGAGCCCCCACCCCACCTACCTTATGAATCAGATACTATGCTAGACAGTGTTTTTAACATGTTCACATTATACTATATTCCACGACCACCATGGGAAGTAGATAATTATATTACTTTCATTTTATGGATGGAGAAAACAGCTCAGAAAGGTAAGTAATTTACCCCATCCCACTAAGAAAAAGCTCAAACACTAGAGCAGCGGTTTCCCTAGGATGCTGGCACAAAAGGTGATCAGATAGAAGATAGCATTACAAAGAACAAACAAATAATTTATAACCCAAACAAAGCCTATGTTATTTAGGCTGATGGCCTGATCAACACAATCTGGGAACAGTCTAGGGAGTGTCACCCAAGACAACTTTGCAGAAAGGTTAAGGACCTCTGCCTTTAGTGAAGTGGTATAGTCACATACATCAAATATAACTGCATTTTAATTCTATGGAAAATTCCTCACACTTTTGTGTATGTACTTTCTTTTTTTTTTTTTTAATCGAGGCATTTTTTATTTATTTATTTGTTTGTTTGTTTGCTTGTTCGTTTATACATGCACTGGGTACAGTCAGAAACGCGGGAGGGTGAGAGAATTCACCAGAGCCAGAGCAGGGAGCAGAGCAGGCAGAAGGACCGAAGTACACTGCTGAGGGGAGCAGCAGGCGGCAGGAGAGGTCTGCGCGCCATGTGGGACCCTCCTCCGGTGGCCGGGGAGCAGCTGGGGATCGAACTGGCGCCGCAGAGGCCGCGGGCAGCTTCGCAACCCAGCGCTCAACCGCTGCGCCACGGGGGAGGCCCCTGTGTATGTACTTTCTATGTACAATGCAAGAACACATTTCACAAACACAGTAGCACCATCCACTCTCCAAAAGCAAACAAAACAAAAAGCATACCTAAAACAAATGGAATAATTAAATACTGTAAATATTTCCATTTGGCATTACAAAATAAGACCCAAAACTACTCTTACCTCACTCGCAGCATATGTATATAGCACTTTATTTTTTATGACAAACCAGAAGTGTTTCCAAGGTTTTTTATTGCCCTTTGATCTGTACAAGTAGCCACTCATAGAAGAATCTTCTGTGTTTGCTGATACCTAGGTAAACAAAGCCCATACACGACTTAATGATTTTTATACAAATGTTTAAAGTAAAAAAAATAACTTTTAATCATTAGGTGCTAAAAGCAATAATCATAATAATACATTTCACAATAAAATTGTATACTTTCAAAATCTGCTGCTATACAAATTGAATATTGCTATTAACAAGCATTCTAAAATTTTACCTGGTTTAACTGTGCTTGCATGTGTTTATGTATGTATTTCTTTGTGGTTTTACCTACATGCTGTGTTGTCAGGAGATGAAAAATAATTCCGAGGGTCAACAATACTTTTTTAAGCTGCACTTCTGGAACTGTGTATGTTGTTGATTGTTCCTCTTTTTTTGGCTGTTAGGGAAAATTACTTAAACCTTTTAACTCCATCCTAAAATAATGTCTCAGACTTCTAAAATGGCATCAACAGAAAGATAAAGAGAAAATGGAGATGATTTACAGATCATTCTTTGGTCCAAAAGAAGCCTATTTTTGCTTTAAAAAAGGCTGATTTTTTAAAGCAGGTAAAAAATAGTGTTCTTTTTTTTTTTTTAAAGATTTATTTTTTTACTTATACAAGCACTGGGTACAGTCAGAAGCACAGGAGGGTGAGAGAATTCACCAGAGCCAGAGCAGGGAACAGAACAGGCAGACTGAGGAAATACACTGCTGAGGGGAGCAGCGGGCATGGTAGGAGAGGTCTGTCAAGCCATGTGGGACCCTTGCCAGTGGCAGGGATCAAAACTGCGAAGCAGAGGCTGCGGGCAGCTTCGCAGCCTAGCACTCAACCGCTGCGCCACCAGGGGAGCCCCAAGATAGTACTCTTTTAATGATTATAATCTGGCAATTGAAATGTATCCCTGCCTTGGACAATCATACTGCTGTACAATCACCTCCCCTTTGAGTGTGGGCAGCTTGTGACTTGTGCCCTGTGACTTGCTCCTAATCAATAAAATGTAATGGAGGTGATGCCATGGCATCCCCATGATTTTGTTATATCAAGTAAGACTCCATATCTTGCTAGCAGTGTAGCTCTAGAGACCTTCTCCCATGCTGACTTTAAAGAAGTTAGCAGTCATAGTGGTAGGTCCACGTGGCAAGGAGCTGAGGTGATCTCCAGCCAAAAGTCAGTTAAGAAACTGGGCCCTCAAGTCTTACAACTACAAAGACATGAATTCTGCCAGCAACTTGAATGAACTTGGACCCTTCCCTAGCCAGCCTCTAGATAAGAACTTTACACTGGTCAACACCTTGATTGCAGTACTGCAGTGGCCCCTGCTAAGTGGTGCTTAGACTCCTGAGAGAAAAAATACGGAGTTTTAAGTCAATATGTTAAGTTCTAATTAGCCTTTTTTTTTTGTAATTTGTGCTAATTTGTTACATAGCAGTAGAAAACATACAGGTGGGGTCTATTTATATTTTTATTCATGTATTATTTGATGAATTCTATGAATTTCTTATACATTTCTTGAAAGGGATTATATATTTTTATTGGAAAATTTAATACATAATGTTATGTTAGGAATATGTACAAGTAAATTTGTATATAAAGAAATACATCTGTATAAAACTACCAACTAATCAGAAAAAAACTATAATGTTAATATTTCAGTGACATTTTGCTTAAAATGTAGTTATGCTGGGATACTACTATGTACATATGTTGGTATATGCATGTATATGCATGCATGTACACATATACATACATAGGTACTTATATAAAGTGTTACTATTCTTGCTCAGTATAGTACTGTCCTTGTACTATTCATACAAGTAGATCAATTAAAATACTGAACAGTCATCCAGAGTCCTCTACTATCTTTTTTAAAAATATAAATTGGTGCTAACAGCTTAATCACCTGACTCAAAACTTTCTTCCAGTGATTGGATCGTTTAAAAAAGTCAAGGGGTCTCCCTAGTGACACAAGGGGTTAAGTCTCAGCACTATCAAGCCATCAGCAGCCACTGCAACACAAGTTCAATTCCTGGCCAGGAAGCTAACCCACATGGCATAGCAGACCTCTCCTGTCTTGCCCACTGCTTCCCTCAGCAGTGTATTTCAGTCAATCTGCCTCTTCTGCTCCCCACTGTCTCTAGTGAATCTTTTCATACCACCCCCCACACCTCTGGCCTACAACCCAGCTCTTGTAATGCATTAATGAATAAAATAAAAATAAATCTTTAAAAATAAAAAATAAAAAAGTCAAACCCAACTCAAGCAATATAGTCTGCCATTACTGAGGGTAATGAATATAAGTCTCTGAATATAATTCTAAAAATGAAGAATTTCTAAAAGTACTGAACATTACTGGAATAAACATACAATGCCCATTTCTCAAAAAGTTAAACAATAGAAATATTTTATGACCAAGTAATTTTATTCCTAAGTATATACCCAAACCTATGTCCATGTAGAAATTTGTGTGCAGTGTATATAGTAGCACTTTTTCATAATAACCTAACATGAAAATAACTCAAATGTCCATCAAGAGATGAATGGGAAAATTGTGGTATATACATATAATGGAATATTATTCAAGACAAAAAGAAACAACATATCATGAGCCTTGAAAACACTGTGTACGATGAAAGAAGCCAGACACAGAAGGTCACATATTGCATGATTCTTTTTCTATGCTCTATCCAGACAGACAAAAACTTAAAGATTAATGGCTTTTAGGGAGTGAGGGGAAAAAGAAATAGAACTGATTACTTCATGGTCCAGGGTGATTTTATGAAGTAATGAATATTTTGAAATTAGAGTAATGTGGCAATTGTACAATATTGAGTACACTAAATACCACTGAATTATATATATTAAAGTGGTTAACTGTACCTTATTTAAATTTCACCTCAACTGAAATTCAACAACAAAAAGAACACAGCTTTCCAAAGAACATGTTGACTTTTTAACTAGATACATTAACTGCCCCAGACTGAAGGCAAAGGGTGTAACAGTGATTCTCAAATGTCAACATACACTTAAATCACCCAGAGTGCTGGTTAATGTTTCTGATTCTGTGGACCTCAGGAAGGCCCAAGAAATTGCATTCTTCGTAAGATAATGCCAATGCTGCTAGTCTAGAGGATGCTTTGAGAACCAGCGGAGTAATGGAAGGAATGGCCACAGTCAAAGGAAATAGAAGCTGGAAAGCCTGATTATCTGGCTTGGTGAAAACTGCAATTAGAATCTAGGCTGAGTCTAGTCTAGTCTATAAAGAGTTTTGTAATCAATGTTGTGGAGCTTACAGGAGAGTAAGTATAAGAATTGTCTTCATAAACTGTAGCATCAGCCTGGAGAGACAAAAATCACAGGGACTACTTCAACTCATTAAGAACTTTAACTTTCTGAATGTAGATTTAGATTCAGAAAATGAGTGATAGAAGAGGTAGTTCAGTGGTACTCACTGAACTGGCTTAACTAGTTTCATATGAAACTTGGAAAATAGAAATTTAAGTCTAATAAGAGCTATTTCATGACATTGGCTATAAATCACTTCCTATAATTTCAATTGCTATGTTGGAATACACTCAACTTTACATAAGAAATGTAGTCTTGTTCAAATTGTTAGAGTGTCTGTTTCTACTCTCTGTGATAGAACACCACCATAGTACCAAGAGAACAAAAATTAAAACTACTCTGCTGGCCCCAAACTAGCAGAGGTGGAACTGACTTGTAAATTAATCAGAATGGGACTGGCCAGAAAAACCACAAAAGGTCAGTTGCATGATTCCGCTTAGATGATATATCCAGAATAGGCAAAGACATGGAATGCTCTCAGATCTCTGACACTGGCTGATGAAACACCTTAATTTGAGGAATGGGGATATCAGTGAGGTCTGTGGATTATGCCACTGGCATATCTTAGTGTGCAAGCTATTACCACTTTTTAAATTTTTCCTTTAAATTTAAAGGGAAGAAAACCTATTATCAGTGCCACCAGCTATATATAACCAACAAATGTCTGCAAATAAGGAATTGTGCAGACCAGTAAATGCTAATAAAGTACCCAAAATATTCTATTAACTTCTTCCCTTTGGTAAGGAGGGTTCCTCAAATAATTAAAAAAAAAATTCACATGTGTCCAAGTTATCTTTCTATCATTGTGAGAAAATGGTCTCCAAACATTTCATCAACACCCATTTCTAAATGACTCAGGTCATAAGGGAGATCAAGCAATATTGTAAGGCATCAGCCACATCTATCACTACCATGTCTTAATAGCAGTGGGAAATAACATCTTGCTCTATGAAAGAAAAATAATGTATTATATGCATATAAATAATTTAGTTTCTATCAGGTTGCAAGTTTAATAGAATCACTTACCTCTTTGAGAGCTGCTGGAATTTTTTTCTGTTTCCTCCCTGATGGAATACTATGTAAGACTGATGATAAGGCACTTGAAGGAGATTTGTGATTTCCGGGAGAGCCAATCTTAGGAGATTTGTGATTTCTGGGAGATCCAATCTTAGGGGAGTGCTGGTGATCTAAAAAAAAATAAAGTACACTTATAGAGCCAATGATAAGCATTCTGCAATTCAATTCAATTCAAATCAATGAAGATTGTTGCATAAAATATTTATGGCAGGATATTGAAGAAACTGATGGCACTGGGGCCTCTGGGAAAGGAAGATGGATGACCAAAAATGAAAGGGAGCAAGACTTTCTATGACCTATATTTTATACTTTTTATATGTAAAACATATGAAAGAGTTATGCTTTTATGCCTTCAGAATTGTGAAAAATGCTAACATCATGCCAATTAAAAAAAATTTCCCTCCTGGGACTCCCTGGTGGCACAAGGGGTTAAGCACCACACTATGAAGCTATCTGCAGCCTCTGCAGCACAAGTTCCATGCCTGCTCGGCCAGGGAGCAACCCACATGGTGAAGCAGACCTCTCCTGTCTTACCCGCTGCTCCCCTCAGCAGTGTATTTCAGTCAGTCTGCCTATTCTGCTCCTGGCTTTGTCCCTAGTGAATCCTCTCAACCCCCGCATCTCTGACCTGTACCCCTGCTCTTGTATGCATAAATATTTTTTTAAAAAATAAATAGTTTAAAAGAAAAACTTCCCTCCTGACTTAAAAAAACAATCTAATAACATTGTTTATTTTGAAGATACCAGACCAAGTAATAACAAGCGCTAGAAAGGGGGTTATGGGACAAAATGAGGAAGCAATTGTTGGGACTGCAAAGTTCAGAGAAAGTTGGGAAGATGATGAGATGTTTGAGTTCACCAATAAGGTAAAGTAGGAGTGTCCAGGCAAAAAGAGAGGAAAAACACCCCACAGAGAGATGTCAACTTAAGCAAAAGCAAAAACAAATCATTTACTAGGAGAATAACAAGGCTGGGAGAAGAAAAGACTGGCTCCAAGGGCTTTTGTTTAGGGATGGAAATCGAAGACTTTTTGGGATAGGAATGAAATGAGCAGAATGAATTTAGAAAAATAAATGTGGCAGTAGCAAGAAGGAAAGACTTGTGCAGAAAATAAAGTTAGGAAATTATAAAATGTTAGGCTATAAAGGACTGAATAAGTCAGAGATAAAGAAATCAGGAAAAGGACAGACTTTCAAAGATAAATTTGACAAGATTTAAAGAGCAAGTGGGTGTGGATGAAGAGTAAGGAGGCCAGAAAGATGAATTGTGAGTGTTGCAGCTACATTATATAACCTTAGAACAGAGGGAGCAACATAAAGGCTGGCAAAGGATGTATTTTCCTGGGAAATGTATAGCCAATAACAAACGGCTAATCTTTTAAAAATTTATATCCGGATGGCCTTCAGAAATTTAATTAATCTTATCCCAAAATACAGACCTGAGCAGCCCAGCTAGCTGCATTCCTCTAAACTATAAGGATGAATATCTTTGAGTGATAAGTAGGCAGATACATTATTTTCTATTTTCTTGTACATAAATTAGTTTAGTTGTATAATAAAACCTCACTTAATAAGTCCAACTGGGGCCTCCCTGGTAGCACAGGGATTAGAGACACAGTGCTATCAAGCCATCACCAGCCACGGCAACATTAGTTCAATCCCCAGCCAGGGAGCTAACCCATACGGCGCAGCAGACCTCTCCTGTCTCGCCCGCTGCTCCCCTCAGCAGTGTATGTCAGTGGATCCGCCTGTTCTGCTCCCCACTCTGTTGCTGGTGAATCCTCTCACCCCCCGCCCCCCACTGCTGGCCTATACCCCAGTTCTTATATGCATAAGTAAATAAATAAATAAATATTTTAAAAAATAAGTCCAACTGACCAAAATTATAATAATAAACCACCACCTAGATTTTCAAAGAGAATAATTTTTCAGATACATAAAAATAATTTGTTGTGAGCACACTGCTGTGAAAATAGAAAACTTTAAATCACTGAAAATTAAAATTCCCTTGTAACTGTTTTAAGCACTTCACCCTGTGATTACAGTTCTACATTTAGCATGTAGAGAATAAAGGGATTTTCAGTTAAATATTTACTGATATATTACCTAATTTCTGCAGTTCTTGGTAACAATGTTCACACACTCTTGCTGGTTGATTTTTCAGGTAATCTAAGCCATACTTATTTGATGAACAAGCTTGACATACAATCTGAAAACACATTGGGATTATTTCATTTAGAATAACCTTGGTATCCAAAACATGAGCTATATTACAAGTATAGAGCTGTCTCTATTTCAAACCTTTTTTCAGTCACTGAATTTCAGTAAAAGCCATGGAGTTTAGGCAGGAAGTGAATTCACAAAACTACACTTGAAGATGAAAAGGTCACAGATTATTACTGAGTGCTTATTACATAAAATAATATATAAAAGGAGTTAAAATGTGCAAATGTTTGGAACAGTGTCTGGCATGCTCTATATTTATCATCCTCTATATTTATCATCAAGGTCATCGCTGGTATCCTCACAACTGAGGCGACCAGGCAGCTGGTCTAGATGAGGTGTGTGGCCCTGTGCTGACCACTCTCTACATGCACTAGTTTAATCTTTACCATAACTCTCATGTCATTGTCACGATGCTCACTTTACTAATGAGGTGATTAGACTTAGAAACATCACTAGGGAGAACTTCCACTCTGAATGTCCTGCTTATGAAATACTCAGCATTTAGATAGAGTTTAAATAATTAGCTATGAATGTGGGGGTCTGGTTATTGTGAATTTCTTGGGTATTTTAAAAATGAAAAGTGTCTATTACTGGCATTCTAAAGTAGCCCAGAGGTAGGAGAGGGTAACTTCCCTAACAAGATTGCTGCCTCATATTAAAAAAACTAGCAACAACAAATGTTGGCGAGGGTGGGGAGAAAAAGGAACTCTTCTGCATGTTGGTGGGAGTGCAAACTGGTCCAACCACTATGGAGAGCTGTGTGGAGATTTCTGGACCTACTAAACATAGAGCTTCCATAGGATCCAGCAATTCCACTCCTAGGTATTTACCCAAAGGACACAGAAACATCAATTCCAAAGAGCACCTGCACCCCTATGTTTATAGCAGCACTATTTACAATAGCTAAGCTTTGGAAACAACCCAGATGCCCAAAAATAGATGACTGGATCAAGAAGATATGGTACATATATACCATGGAATATAACTCAGCATTCAAAAAAGATAAACACATGCAATTTGCAGCAACATGGATGGCGCTGGAAGGGATCATGCTCAGCGAAATAAGCCAGAAAGAAAAATACCGGATGGTCTCACTCATAGCAGGAATCTAGAAAACTTAAGTGAGGGACCAGGAAAATGAATAACTATAAGAAAGTGAAAATCAAAATCAACGGAAAACTATGAACCAGAGACACTTTTTTGGGGGGTGGGGGGCGGGAGGGGAGGGATTGGGGTCAGAATGGGGGGGTTGCAATTATATGGGGAATATAAAAATAAAATTTATTATTAAAAAAAAAAAGATTGCTGCCTAAATATTTAGAGAAAACACCACTAAGCCTCAGTATCTTGGTTTGTTTTCCTACAATGGTTTAAGAGATGCTACAAAAGGTGCAGCCGGGGATTTTTAATATGGCAATGGAGATGGGTGTTATCTCCTCCAACCTTTCCACAGGCCCGGCAGTGATGTCGCCTCCAGGTCAGAGTAAATTCACTTGTGCAGATCATACACATTGTGGCTCTGGTATCAGGAATCCAGATGGGAGCCTTTGATCCAAGAGGACTAACTTCCTCTTTATTTTCTGAGTCTGCCTGTGGAAGAAGAAGGGCTTCTGATTATCTCCATGCACACTGACACACTCCATGCACACATCCTCATTAGTTTCTTCGTTAAGCTATATTGTATTTTCTAATTTCTAAATTTTCTACAATGAGGTTTTTATGACTAGAAAAAATATGATACACTCTATGCTACCCTAGAATTATAGTTAGACCTTAATAAGATATTTAGTTCTGAAATTATGTACTTACCTTCAGTCCTTTGTGAAACATATATTGCTTTCCTAAACCCCTGGGAAAAGTCTCCTAATGGTAAAAACTGAAGCACTCTGAAAATGAAATCAGGAAAAGACAATACCTCCTCAAGACTCCGAGTAGGACAGAATGTGATTCTTTTCTTGGCATACTCTTCTATTGATCTGGAGATTGCTTCCAGCCATTCATCCCTCTCTGTGGCAGAACTGTTGGGGGCAAAAGAAGGTTCCATCAACCAGATGTCAGCTTTTATTCCATATCTTTTCTTTTCTTTCTTCCATGGCAACAGAGTCCCCCACCCTCCAAGAAGGCTGGCCACAGGCAGCCAGTCTGAGGTTTATGTGCGCAAACAATCAGAGGGACATCAGAGAACACATGTCATTGTATCACTAGCAACCACAGTGCTTTTTTCCTTTCCTGAAGTGCTGCTTTACCTCGGATGGCTTTCAGAGTCTCCTATATATGAAAGTATTTTGGTTTGGTTGAAATGCTATACACTCAATTAATTATGATTATTTATGTAACCAAGGAGATTCCAGGGACATAATCCCAGAGTTTAAAAATATTCCAAGGAATGAAGTTTCAAATACACATTAATATTACTGAAATGTAATTATTTTCAGATGACTAAAAGGGTAAAGGAATATATTTTTGGTGTCATAACAGATGTATAAGGAGTGGTTGATAAGAGAAATAGTCTGCAATTATCACCAGAACTCCTCCACCTATTCATTTACCACATTCTGTTTCTACCCTCAGTTCATTAAGAGCTATCTGATTCAAACCTAGATGGAAAAGGGCCAAACAGGTGAACAGCCTGTACAGAAAAAGGCATTCTCGTTCTGCTTTGTTGAAACACACCTCCCCCCAAATCCCAACATCACCACTAACCATCAGCGCTTACAGATAAGGAAACTAAGGATTTGAAATGTTAGATAATTTGCAGTAGATACTAAATGATGAATTGGTATCAAACCAAAGTGGGGAGAAAGACTGAACCCTTCACCACCCTGTCATCTCTGACCTCTATTCATGTTCTCTGAAGAAGTATACTATAAGAACATATGTTCAGGCACCCACTAAACACTCATAAAACACAACACTCTCTTCTCCCCACTTTTCACAAGAAGAGGTAACAGAAAGCATAGAGGCAGATGGCTAATTTGAGAATTACTGATTTTTCTGGAGCCCTGGGAGCACATGGAATGTGATTTGACTGTGCAAATCATGTCACATAAGCTGTTCTTCCATTTAATCATTCCTGGCTCTCTTATGTGGGATTCTGCCAAACAATGTTGCCAGCTCTTGATAAAGCATTTCTCCCAGACCACACACATCTGCCTGCAGCATTGAGTGGAGACTTCCTAGATCTCCTTTTCTAACATGGTTAGCAGAAAAATTAGCAGCTACCTCAGATCGAAAAAACAGTTAAACCAAGTATTTCTTTTTCCTTTATGGAAAATAACTTGTAGACTAACTTTATGAAAAGCAAGCTTGTATAAAATAAGCACCACTTTCCCATTGAGTGGGACACATATTGAAGGGGAAAGGCCTTCCAATAGAAGGTATTTCTGGTGTGTCACCATTGGCACACCACTTGCTATTTGTGTTTGCTGTCAGATGCTGCTCCCTTTCACAGGTCACTTTAATTCAAATGATTTAAGTAACATTTACTGGGAGCCCTCTAAAGCCCATTCAGCTATGAGCACAATAAAATCTCACTTGTAAGAGCTCACAGCTAATTGAGGTGAAGCACAAAAACAAGTAATTGCACATGATATAATAAAGGCTAGTAAACAACATTAGGTAGCAGAGATGGCTTTGCACAGATTATGACTAAGAATCTAAAGAACAATAGGAGTTTGAAAGGTGACTCTGCAGGCTATCTGTGCACACTCATTCAGTCCCCTGGCTTTTGTTACATCTAGGCTGGTGACTCCCAAATATATGTTCTAGTCCAAGATTGCTTCTGATATCCAGATCCTTACACAAGCTACCTCTTTGATGGCTCCATTTTGATGATTCATAGATATCTCACATTCCTAGTGAACCACCATGATCAGGAACACTAGGTAAGGAGCAGCTTACCTAATAGCACCACCACCTAACACATTGCATAAGAAGAGGGCTTTTTCTTAATGCCCCCTCTCTCATCCCCTATTTTCAATGAGTCAACTCCTTTACTTCCCCTTGCAAATCATTCTTCACACAGCAACCAGATGTTCTTTGAAAAGTGCCAATCTGGGCCTCCCTGGTGGAGCAAGGGTTTAAGCACAGCAGTGATACCAGACCTCAGCATAACAAGGGAAGACAAATCCCCATGTTCAGGACTTGTCAGGAGATTTACTTGCTGGAAAGTATCTGACAAGTCCTGAACATGGGGATTTGTCTTCCCCTGTTATGCTGAGATCTGGTATCAGGTAACAGTGGCTATTTCATTTCAGAGACCATTCCAGCTAGCTGCTCTTGTGGTCCCCTAATCTTGGGAAGCCAGACATTTATCCATGAACAAATACAACATTATAATGGTTAAAAACAAGAATTCCAGTGCCAGATGTGCTACTAATAGTCATGTAACCTTGGACATAGTGTTATACTACTCGGTGTCTCCATTTTTCTTACCTGGAAGGTCAAGATAATACTTATCCCACAAGTCAGGATGGGAATTAAAAGAGTAAAGAAGCATAAGTATTTAGTGTTGTACCTTACACAAAGGTCTGTTATGAATCCAGAATTACTAAGATCCTAGTTGATTTTAGTGATTATGGACACAGCTGGAAGTAGCCTGGGTTCAAATCCCAACTCTGCTACTTAATAGCTGGGTGGCTTTTCTTACCATAAAATGGTAGCTTAACTTAAAAGGTTGCTGGGAGCATTTACTGGGACAAGCATGGCAATGAAAAGTATTTGCTACTATCTTTGTTACAGCAAAGGTTAGATGTGAAAGCTCCCCAGACTCACAGTCCAGATACAGAAGGGGCACATACTATGGCTGTTGGCGTCTCCCTTCACCAGTCAATTCTGATCAGATATCCATTTCTGTCACTGGGCCAAGATCTCACTAATGTGTGTCTATGAGCCCTCCACAACCAGCTTTCCTTAACACTTAATTTACATGATGCAATACACTTTGTGTTTTATTTTATTTTATTTATTTTTATTTATTTATACAAGAACTGGGGTAGAGGCAAGAGGTGTGGTTGGGGGCGGGGAGGGGGGGAGAGGAGTCATCAGGGATAGAAGTGAGGAAAAGAAGAGGCAGATTGACTGAAATACATTGCTGAGGGGGGCAGCGAGTGAGACAGGAGAGGTCTGCTGTGTCATGTGGGTTAGGTCCCTGGACAGGGATCGAACTTGTGCTGCAGTGGCTGTGGATAGCTTCACAGTGCTGAGATTTAACACCTTGGGCCACCAGGGAGGCCCTATGTAACATGCTTTTATTTATTTATTTATTTGTTTGTTTGTTTTTGAAGATTTATTTATTTATTTATACAAGCACTGGGTACAGTCAGAAGCGTGCGAGGATGAGAGAATTCACCAGAGCCAGAGTGGGGAACAGAACAGGCAGACCGATGAAATACATTGCTGAGGGGAGCAGCGGGTGGCAGGAGAGGTCTGCGCACCATGTGGGACCCTCGCCGGCAGCCGGGGATTGAACCAGCACTGCAGAGGCTGTGGGCAGCTTTGCAGCCCAGCGCCCAACCACTGCGCCACCAGGGGAGGCCCAACCTGCTTTGATTTAAACATAAGTCACTGCAGGTTCTAGTTTGAGGCAACATGGTATCATAATAGATACCATAATAGATACCATTTAACAGCAAAAAATTCTATTAATTTCCTGGCTTTGCCAGTTATGTATCCTTATGATGGCAACTCAATTTTTCTGCAACTTAATTAACTTCTTCAATATTAATATCATGTGACACCTACCTTGCAGATTGTTATGACCTTTCGAAGTTATGTATAAACTTCCCAATAAACTATAAGGCACTGGGTCTTTTTAAAAATATTATGTGCCAGTATAAAAATATTTGAAACATTCACTTAAAAAATGATCAGTAAAGAGGGGGCTTCCCTAGTGGCATGGGGTTAAGACGCAACCTATGAAGCTATCCACAGCCACCACAGCATGAGTTCGATCCCTGGCCAAGGAGCAACCCACATGGCGCAGCGGACCTCTCCTGTCTCACCCGCTGCTCCCCTCAGCAGTGTATTTCAGTCTGCCTGTTCTGCTCCCCGCTGTCTCTGGTGAATCCTCACCTCTGGCCTGTACACCCGTTCTTGTATGCATAAATAAATAAATCTTTTTAAAAAAAAAAGATCAGTAAAGTACTTTTCAGCATTATTATTCAAAGGAACATCTTTATCTTTGTGCTTCTAACATGCTATTATATTAGCTCTCAGCTATTCTCCCTGCATGGTAAAGCAAAAGTAAACTGAATGGTCTTGGGAAGAAAATAAGTGTGTGTGCGTGGGGAGAGGGGGGTGTGGTAGGGAGGAGAGAGTGAGGAAATCTAGTAATTAACCAAATATGAATATTTGGTGATAAATATTTGGTGAATATTTAACCAAATAGTGATGTCTGCCTTGGTACTTTTAGTAAACATTCATTCATATATATTTTTAACGATTACCTAGCAGAGAGGATGAAGGATCGTTCTACACTTTCAATCTTTAGTTCATTCTGATATGCTTCTTGGGTGGGTTTTCTGACCTGAAAGAAAGTAAAACAATTTGAGCAAATTCATCCTTTTGAAAATCTCATCTCTGAAGCATAGTTGAAAGTGCTCTATGACCCCAGTTAACATCCACAACCAACCTCTCTATCCAGCTTTATCTACCTCTAGTCTCCCTGATCTCCTCTGTGCTCCTGAGGAATTTAAATACCCAAATACAGGTCCAATTTTCCTACCTTTGCTTAAGTTCTCTAACTTAAGTGCCTTGCCACCTGTGACCATGGCCAGATGTGGCCCACCTATGACCATGGCCAGATGTGGCCCGCCTATGAAAGCTCTTGGTTCTTCCTCCAAAAAGACTTTCACAATTCTCTTTCCCAGCTGCCAGCAATCCCTCTACCATGTCCCATGAAAGTTACACATTCTTTATTTTACAAACTCTCCCAAACTTATTCCTTTATAGTGATACAGCTGTCTATTTTTTTAAAGATTTATTTATTTATTTATACAAGAACTGGGGTACAAGCCAGATGCGCGGGAGGGTGAGAGGATTCACCAGAGACAGAGTGGGGAACAGAACAGGCAGACTGACGAAATACACTGCTGAGGGGGAGCAGCGGGCGTGACAGGAGAGGTCTGCTGTGCCATGTGGGACCCTCGCCAGCCAGCCGGGATCGAACCGGCACTGCAGAGGCTGCGGACAGCTTCACAGCGCAGCGCTCAACTGCCTGCGCCACCAGGGGAGGCCCCACTACTGTCTATTTTATAGGTATTCATAGTATAGGTATTTATAGTATATTATAGGTATAGGTATTTATAGTATATAGTATATTTATAGTATGTTATCTTATAGGTATTTATAGTATATTATCTTTCATAGTATAGGTATATATAGTATATAGTATATTTATAGTATATTATCTTATAGGTATTTATAGTATATTATCTTTCAAACTAATTGCTAAGCTCCTAGGGGGATTGGGAAAGAGTAGGCACACAAAAAAATCATACTTTAATGCATCAGTGTATTTTTCAAGCCTACTAATATGCTTTGTTTATAGTAGTTCTCAATAAATATCCTATGAATAAATTATGAATCTGTGAGCAAATGACTACATGAATGAATAAACTATCACATCAACAGTAACATACGGGAGAGAGAAAAGTTAAGAATGTGAGAAAGATAATTATCATGGAGATTTTTCTCTAAATATAGTTGGGCTAAAAAAATCTTCTGACAGATGCACAGACCTTCATTCCAGCCAATGAGAGCATGTTGTTCAGTTTATACATCCCAGACTGCACCGGTGTTGTATATAATAGGGCATCATTAAACTGAAAGTAGAAACATTTCCCAATAAAGAAACAAAGATCAGCTACAGAGACATTGATGAGATACAAGAATAAAAGAAACATTACCTCTTTGTTAATAACTGTCTGAATAAAACATTTATGTTGTTTATATAAACTAGAACCACCTAGAATATTTTATTAGATTATTAAAACAGCAATTTCTAGAAAATGTGCTTCCTTTCACGTTCTGTAACAGAACTTAAGTTTTCTGAAATCTAAGTCTCACCCACAACACACCACAATCTGCCTGTTTGATTGAATTAATTCTTGCAATTAATTTTTCATCTAGAAGTGAAATAAATTAAACTCAAAAAGGAAATAATTTTCTGATTAAGTATCAGAGAAGGCTTTTTCCTATACTAGCAATGCAAATAGGCGATACAGCCAGTCAAAAATCCCACTAAAACTGCTATTTGAACGTGCTAAGCTTGTGTTATTAACAAATGTCTTCTTCTATTAAGCAATTACCCCTGCCTTGGGTACATCACAATCTTACATCACCACTTACCAGGAAAAACATTCCAGGCTGCATGACTTTCCGAGAAAGCTTCATCAGAGTTCCTTCTTTGATAAAAACCTGATTAACCCAAGCAAATGTCCATTTAGTCCTACTATCGTAACACAATTGCAATATGCATTTTCATATAATTTCCTTTCCCCAGAATATTTTTATGGGGGGCTGGGTGGTGGATTTGTGACCTTTTTTATAATCATGGTTTCTTTTTAAAGCCTGTAAGTCATTTCAGAATTGGACAAGCCAGAGAGTTTCATAAATCCAATACTGGCCCCAGGGGTGCAATGTGGTCTGAAATGTAATTAACCAAGCGTGTACTTGATCCTGAAGCACAGCCAACATCCTGACAACTGCGTTTTATAATTTTCCTGAAGTCATTTCATAGGCCACTATAGTGCTCTCTGAGGAGCACCGAAATACCAATTTTCTCCTTCCCTTCACAATTCCCTATTACATTAAAGATTTTAAATGAAACTGTCTTTAAAGCTGTGCGAGGTCAGCTAGTATGACACAATAAAATGATCCTATTTAATCAGATACTTTGTGGAATCCCTTGCCATTCTCCTAATTGAGCTGGACTTCTTGTCAGAGTAACTTAAATCATGAATGATTTGAATGGATAGAATCAACTTCTTTGATCTAAACTGGGTGAGTGAAGAATAACAATAACAAATAAGCCTATTTTCATAAATGAGATGAAAAATAGTTACAAATGGTGCTTAAACACATAGTATTAAATTTGCAAAAGACAGTCTAAAGCACTTACCCTTCCAGGCTGCACTATTTCATGGTGTCCATTTAAGCTATACTGGATTTGCATAAGCTTCTGGAAGTTGTCCTACAAAAAGAGATGTAGAGCACATGAAATCTCACATTCCCAGGTCCAACAGTACACCATCCACCAAAATCAAGACACTCACCCCTTGCTTCATGGTGTCATTGGCGTGGTTGGCCACCTCTATAACAACTGCAAGAGCATCTAAAACATACAGGAACAGAAGGAGCAGTTGGTCTATATCACTGAAGCAAAGGTTTGTAACATTTACAACACCTTATTCATAAAAAGCAATCTTTGGAGGATCCTGGTTAACTGTGAATATGTAGCTCTGAGGCTTGATGATATAGATGAAGAAGTTGGATGAGGTCAAACTCATAGAAAAAAAGGCAAAAACAGTACTTTCTGTAAAAGAAAGACTCTAAAGAGACTCTGTGTTTTAACAATATAAATATCAGGGTAGTTTTGTGCTAAGATTTAATACAAGGATAATGACTGATTTAACCTGGCAGCTAAGGCTTCCTGGGGTACAGTTGCCTTGGGAGAGATCCTGGGATAGGAAACCAGAACTATAACAAGCTACTATTTAAGAGTCAACACTTACCTGCCTTCACTTAGTCTGCTCCCAACAGGGAAGAAATGCCATGTGGAAGCATACTAGACCATAGGAAATTACAAGCATTCTTTTTTAAGTTGGGATATTTAGCCTCATCTATGTTTTACTCTTTTTATTTACCCCTTGCTTTTTTATTACCAAGGTGTTTTCTGAATGGCCCAGTCTGGATAAATCTGTTCTGATCCCCCCCAAAAAAAAACAATGCTCCCCGAGTGACATTTAGACACACCTAGGGTCAAATTTTGGTTGACACAATGACTAGAAAGGTCCACTGGCCTTCAGTGGGTATGAGTCAGAGATGCAGGGAAGCAGTGACAATAATCCTCAATGAAAAGACAATTAAAAGAAAAGAAAAAGAGATCAATTTCTGGAAAGGGATTTAGGTTTTTTGGACCAGCTACTATAACCTACCAAGAAATTCTCTTTCTGGTACCAACCCTGATGGTTTCTATATTCTTTTAACATGTATGATTGTCCCTAGTATTAAAGGAAAGTAGTATTTCATCACAGACTCCAACCAAAGATGAGAATTTGCTGCACCTGGTACTCTCCTCATGGCAGATATTCAAGAATTTACTCTGGACACAAGTCCTGCTTTCTGCCGGCTTGAGGTCCCAGTAGGCAAGGGGAATAGCTTTAGGATTTCAATGAATATATTGCACTGGTAAGGTGCTATTTGGTCACAGGGCTTCCAAGTTCTCCTAGTTCTATCCACTCTGCAATTCTACTTTCCCATGCCATCCCTTTAAAAGGCTCTGCTGACTGTTCCTTTAACCCTTCTGCCTCCCTTTTAAAGGTATATTTGTCTCATTTTTCCTCCCTCTTGGGCAATTTCATCAACTGCTCACCACCTTATGCTATGCCTCTGGCCAGACAATGCGCCTCACTGTTCACCATTTACTCGAATCCATGTCTTCGCAGAGTTGTGTAATTTCAATGAGCCTTTTAATCTCTTACATTATATTTGTTTTATCTGTAAACAGAGCTAACAACTCACTTTTCTTGAAGGGAAAACCTTGGGACAGATACTTCTTGAGATCCCATTTGCTAAGATCTGTCTACAATTTTTATCCTCAAGAGACAGACTCTGGCTAGCAATGCCTACTCTCTTTCTTGCCACTCTTAGCTCATCTCCAGTTCCTTTGCTCTGAACAAAACTCTGCCTCTTCAACCTCTACACTTTTCTCCCTTTTTGAAGTGACTTTGTATTGCTCAGTGTATCCTTACTTCAAAGCCATCTGCTTTAGAAAAGACTCTCTAGAAAATGAATTAAAAACCTTCTTAGTGTTGTAACCTGAAAATGTAAAGAATCGTAAGAACATGATCAAACTGATAAAATTCATGGGAGTGGCCATGGGCTTGCTTAATGTGTTTTTGCAGGAATACAATGTGTTTTTGCAGGAATATACAAGAATACACAAGACATTTGAAAGAAGTGGTTTGGATGTAAATATGGAAAGAAATACTAGTAGCCTGACTACAGAACTCTTTCTCTCTCTCTGGATTATCCCATGAACATCAATGACAGCTTTGCACTGTAATGGACTATAAACAAACAGTGTCAGAATAATGTGCTATTTTAGATGTTATCCTTGATTTGTATGGTTTGGTCACTTCAAGGATTCATGATTATAAAGCCTAAAATAAGCTTGCTAGTCAACTTGTTCAAGCCTTGCTTTAGAAAACACTGGACATCTAGAGAAGGTGAATTTACATGGGCACAGAGTGACCAAGCGTGGGGAAATGAAGCTTCCTAACCCCAGGACATATTGGATCCACTCTCTTAGGAGAATGGCACTCATGGTAGGCTGGCCATGTGCCTCCCATGTCCCTATAAACTCACCTGAATCCACCAACATATTGCCACTTTAGTACTATTTAAATCCACCCAAAATAGAATTTTAAAAAAGTTTCTAATGAAAGGGTTTTGTATATGGGTTTAGTTATTGGTTTACATTCATATTCAGGGTGCACAGAAACAAAATATAAAAACTTCTATAACATATGAGACCACAAAAGTCATTTACCTTGAGTGTCTCTATAATCTCCAGAATCTTCTAAGAGATTTTTCAAATAATCTGAAAAAGGGGAAAAATGATAGCATTTAGTATAATTAAAGAACTAAGGAAAAATATTTATCATTGAATACTTCAATAATTTTTGCTGGTTAATATACACACTGGTCGAATTTTGTGTTAACTTCTTAAAAATTTGAAATAAGCCCTGGTCAATTTGAAATCAGGACATTGGAAAAAGCATTAGCAATCATACTGGTCATTTCACTGATAAGGAATCAGGTTAATAAGTACAAATTCTTGCTCAAGTCACAAAACTGCTTTGTGGCAGACAGGATCAGAATCAGCTCTCCTGGTGCCCAGTCCAGCTGTCTTACTCCAAAACACACAAAATACCTTAATCTTAATATCAGATTTATATATAGTACACTATTTTAAGCATTAATAGACTGTAAGCCTAAGGGATGCTTAGACTTGTTGCTCTAAGTATTTAATAATGCTCAGAACATCAAGGAGTTTAAGACACGTGTCTAGTCCATTGGTTCTCAAATGGGGATGAATTTGTCCCTCAGGGGACATTTGGATATGTCTAGAGACAATTCTGATGGTCATGCTGGAGGAAAGGAGGCATCATTAGGGAAGAATCTAATGGTTCTAACCAGGGGTGCTGCTAAACATCCTATAATACACAGGAAAATCCTACAACATAGAATTATTTGACCCAAAATGTCAATAGGGCCAAGGTCTATATGAAGATACTCTATAAGAGAAGTGTGGTACTGTGGTTCTTATAATGTTGAAAAAAGGCAGGTTCAATTGATTATTATATTTAGTAAATCTTTAACACCGAGGAATGTCATAGGATTTCAAGGTAACACTTCCTTCTCTGTTGAGAAATGGCTTCCCATTACCTATCAAATTAACATAAATTCCTTTCCCTGGAAAGTAGACGCCACCCCATCTCCCCTGCCACACCTCCCCACTACACAATCTCCAGAGACTCTAGTGATTTTTCCCTCTTACTGCCTGACACAAGTCCTTTGTTCTTACCAACACTGATTCTACACAATTCCTGAACACATCCCATTTCTTCTCTGGCTCCTTCTAAACCTGTTCCTCTGTCTCTGTACATAAAAATTCATAAATCTCATATTCTTTAAGGATCATCTCAAATTGCTCCTTTCCTGTTGAACTTACCATTTGAAAGAAATACTATCCTGTTTTGAATAATACATTACACTGCAGTTACTCACTTTACATTTATCTCTCTTTTTTTTTCCCACTAAACTCAAAGTCTTTCATCTTTGTATCTCTCTTAGCCCTTGGCTTATCCCTGTGCACCCAATCAGGAACACTGAATACATACAAAGGACAAGAAATAATGAATAAAAATGTTATATTTTTGGCAAGATTGTGTCTTAGTTTAGATAAAAGACAATAAAAAACTGAAAAAATCCTAATGCCAGTGGGAGTTGAGAAAATAGGAGGAGGAAAGGCATATTAAGAGAAGAATTGGGCCTCCCCGGTGGCGCAGCGGTTGAGCGCTGGGTTGCAAAGCTGCCGGCGACCTCTGCGGCGCCGGTTCGATCCCTGGCTGCTCCCCGGCCACCGAAGGAGGGTCCCACATGGTGCGCAGACCCCTCCTGCTGCCCGCTGCTCCCCTCAGCAGTGTACTTCGGTCTTTCTGCCTGCTCTGCTCCCCGCTCTGGCTCTGGTGAATTCTCTCACCCTCCCGCGCTTCTGACTGTACCCAGTGCATGTATAAACAAAACGAACGAACAAACAAACAAATAAAAAAAAAAAAAAAAAAAAAAAAAACCTTGTGTAAAAAAAAAAAAAAAAAAAAGAGAAGAATTCATTTTTATTAAATTCACCCTCTATTTGCCAATATTATAGACAGATATAATCTCATCCCATGGATCTATGAAGTCATACTCACCGGGAAACTTGGATGCTAGTGCTAGCTTTCCAATCTTTTTTTTTTTTTAAATATCTTAAGCAGGTTTTTTTTTTTTTTTTTTTTTTTAGATTTATTTATTTATACAAGCGCTGGGTATATAGTCAGAAGCGCGGGAGGGTGAGAGAGTTCACCAGAGAGAGAGAGAGTGGGGAGCAGAACAGGCAGAAGGACCAAAGTACACTGTTGAGGGGAGCAGCAGGTGCAGCAGGACTCCGGGCCATGTGGGACCCTCACCAGCGGCAGGGGATAGAACCAGCATTACAGATGCTGCTGGCAGCCTCGCAGCCCAGCGCTCAACCGCTGCACCACCAGCGGAGGCCCGATACTGCCTTTTTTCAAAACTAATTGAAAGCTTGTGGCAAAAAGATTATGATTTGCTAAAGACTAAGATGATCTCATCACTTTTCAGCAACAAAGTATTTTTAAATTATGTGCATTTATTTTAGACAAAATGCTTTTATATGCTTTACAAAGTATAGTATAGTATAAACATAACTTTCTATGCACTGTGAAACCAGCAGTCTGGAATTGAATCCACAGTATCTCCAAGGTTAGCCTGCAATTTTTTTTTTTTTTAAGATTTATTTATATATGCATACAAGAGCTGGGGTACAGGCCAGAGATGTGCAGGGTGAGAGGATTCACCAGAGACAGAGTGGGGAACAAAACAGGCAGACTGCCTGAAGTACACTGCTGAGGGGAGCAGCGGGCGAGTCAGGGGAGGTCTATTGCACATGTGGGTAGCTCCCTGGCTGGCGGGGATCGAACTCATGCTGTAGAGGCTGTGGATATCTTCATAGGTTGTGTCTTAACCCCTTGTGCCACCAGGGAGGCCCAGCCTGCAATTTTTAATTCCCAAGTTGGAGAACATGCTTCTCACCAAATAGATAATAAACTACAAAAATTGGGCCTCCCTGGTGGTGCAAAGGGTTAAGACCCAGCACTATCAAGCTATCCACAGCCACTGCAGCACGTGTTCAATCCCCGGCCAGGGAGGTGACCCACATAGTACACCTCTCCTGTCTCACCTGCTGCTCCCCTCAGCAGTGTATTTCAGTCTATCCACCTGTTTTGCTCCCCACTCCCTCTGGTGAATCCTCTCATCCCCTGCATCTCTGGCCTGCACCCCAGTTCTTGTATGCATAAATAAATACATCTTTTAAAAACTACATAAATTAATAAAATATATTAGTTACATATTACATTTAGCCTCATCTAGAGATAAAAAATTAATCTCACTGACCCTACCCAGAATGCAGTCTCTCTCTATATATATATACACATACACACACATATATGTTATATAATATATTATTACATTATATATTATATATATTATATTATATATAATATATATTATATCTATTATATAGATATAATATATAATGTTTGATGAGTCCAAATAATTTAACTTTTCTTTGAGAGTGATAAGGTTCGGTAGAAAAACATACTATATGTTCTCAATGCCTAGGATAACCTTACTAATCAAAAGTGATGTTCATAAAAGCCCCTAGTTACTAAGAGTGTGGAAAGGAAAGCAGGTTAACCTAAGCATCAGATTCATGGCAATTTGCTATTTTGTCCTCAATTCTTGGCCTTTAAAATAGATGTCTACAAAAGCAAACCAAGATAGTCCTCTAAACCAACAGAGATCATTAGAAAATGCCTGTAGGAAGTTCTGACCTCACAATCACCATGCTAATCCTGATAAGCTTCTGAGTTAACTTTTCTTGGCTTGTACTCAAGTTCAGCTGCTCTGACTATCTGAATTTTGAGGAAGGGGGGGCTGGAGATGGGGTTGGGGAGAGAAGTATACAAATTGGTTGGACAGAAAACCTACCATTAAGATGTTACAAAATAGGGCCTCCCCAGTGGCGCAGTGGTTGAACGCTGGGTTGCGAAGCTGTCCGCGGCCTCTGCGCCACCGGTTCGATCCCTGGCTGCTCCCGGCCACCAGAGGAGGGTCCCACATGGCGCAGACCTCTCCTGCCGCCCGCTGCTCCCCTCAGCAGTGTACTTCCGTCCTTCTGCCTGCTCTGTTCCCTGCTCTGTCTGGTGAATTCTCTCACCCTCCCGTGCTTCTGACTGTACCCAGTGCATGTATAAACAAACCATCAAACAAACAAATAAATAAATAAATAAAACATGCCTCTATTAAAAAAAAAAGTTACAAAATAATGCTATTAATCAAGGGGGCAATGATTTATTCTCCATACCAATTATAAAAAATATCTTGACTTCAACATTCCAAAACTGAATTTTTTAAATGCAATTTTGCAATATTTCAATGCGTCCATCCATCCTCCCATGTTCTCAGGACATCTGTTGCAGTACATTCTTTGAGAACTTTCACTTTTTCAAAGAAAACAAGATCACCATGTCTTCAGTTATGACTCACCCAGTTCCTTAACTACAGAAGATTACAGGTGACTGATCAGACTATGAGTCAGATGGGAGGAACACTAACATCAACAGATACCCCAGTGACTGTTATGACGCAGGTGAAACCCAGGAAAAGACACCAGACAGACACACCTGTGTTGGTCACAGGAAATTGTTCGCAATGTACTATTTAATATCCTGCAGAAGTTTTCAGTACAATAAGAGAAGTCATTTCAACCTGCCATGTTAGACTTATAGTATTCTGTGACTTCCCTGCTTTTGCAAAACCAAAATGTCTGAAATGCTGCTGAAGGTATTGATCCAAATTTTTTTAAAACCCAAACAAAAAGACCCACAATGGTCAGTACAGCTTACGTGGGCACCATAAAGTGCACTTTCTGGCCACCAGGTGGCATCATTGGTTAAGAGACTTTAATTAACCCCATCATGACCATTATCCAAAAAGCAGCAAAAAATTAACAGAAACACAGTTTATGTAGCCTTTAGGGATATACAAGGTAACTTTTTTCTCATATATAAGACTTAAAGTAAAAGTCTGAAGAACCAACAAATATGTATCTTGATAGAGGTCTAAGTTTTCTGTTACCCTTTGATTACGTAAATAACAAATAATCAACTTATAGTAGAAACTATTCAGAAGTGCACCTGACCTTTCCTAAAATGAGTCATCTGTGGGAATCTGAGACCATGTGCACTTAAT